TAAAGACAGAGCTGTTCCTGTTGGGTATCTTACCTGAGAAAATTAGTAAAGAAACTATATATTTGATTATTCATGTAATAACTGCAACAAGAATTGTTTTTGTACAAAATTGGAAAGCAGAAAAAATTCCTACAAAGGGTGAGGTAATTAAGAAAATATTGGAAATTGCAAAAATGATTGACAATGGCAATTAAAGGAAAGGAAGAATTGGAATATTACAATATATGGGGGCAATTATATCATTGAATAGAGATTGAATATGGACAAGAAGCAGAATAAAATTTAAGAAATTTAGAAAGAATATGTTGTAATAAACTATATTAAAATGTAAAAGCAAAGATGTATATGTATCACGAAAATGATGGTAAATGTTGAATATGATGACACAAAATTTTGTACTCAGATGACATACTAATTGAATAACGATGTACCGCTTGTTTAAAAATAAAAATTAAAAAACTTTTTATTAAAAAAAACACCAATCATAGAACTAGAAAAAGCCTGCCCAAATATAAATGTTTTAAATTTCCTTCCAAAACAGTTGGGGTCATTTAAAGGTTAGCTTCACTTTGGCACAGTTAACAGTTAGGGTCATCTAAAGGTTAGTTTAATTTTAATACAACTATATATATTCAATGCATCACAAGGTTCACCCTGTATTCCATTGTAGCCTACTCAAACTGGAAGTTACCTCTAATATCAGACCACCCTTACCAACCCCTCCAGTACCCATTATGGTAGAAGGAGAGCAACATTTTGAAATCAAGGAAATCCTTGACTCATGCACTCACCATGGCTCCACACAATATTTGGTAGCCTGGAAACACCTACCCCCCTCTCGGAACGAATGGGTAGCCAAAAAACACATTAAGGCCCCTATGCTATTAAGGAAATTCCACCTGAAATACCCACAGAAACCTTCCTAACTACTAATGTATTGTATCTCTTCTTATGTCTTTCCAGGTGGATTATCCATTTTTCTAAGGAGGGCAGTATGTCAGATCCGTGTATCTGCCATTCTTCAGAGGAAGGGGGGGGGTTTATTTTCCTTTTCCTTTTCTATGTATTCCATATCCTGGATTGCATTTTTGTATAACCTTTAACCTGATTTATAACCATTGCTTGGCGCCCTAGCTGCCTGGCATTTTTTCACCTCTTGGGGAACGTAGGGGGGAGGGTGGGCCATGTGGACTGCATCGCCAGATAATGGCCCTGAGAAAGTTCTCTTATCTCTTTCTCAGAGTAGCCGGTACAATAACATCTTCATACCTGTGGATTGGCTGTTTATGGCTCCTACATTGGACTGTTGGGAGGGGTCTCTAATTTCTTTTATTTTAATTGTATGCCCTGAGGAATCTCAGAGCCTGCTTTGAATTCATCTTGCTATCACCCTTTTTCAATAAAAGATTCCTTTTGAAATGCCAAGTTTCAAGAATCTTTACTTTCTTGAATAAGGGGGAGAGGATAGACTTTACACTATCAGAACATGGTAAAACTTATTTGGAGATACAAGTTCAGCCTGATTAATGGCTGCATGTCTGAATAAATCTATGATGGGGAGAGACCAAATTATAAGGTCAGAGAGGAGCAGATGAATCTAGGTTTCTCAATAACAAACTAGGATTTTTTTTTTTGTTAGAAGTTTAAACCATCCATCAAAAGCCAGAAGTGGTTCAAGCATGAAAAGCTTTAGCATACTGATGTCCCAATTGGCTGTCTAGTTGGATGCAGTAGATATTTTCTGAACCATATTTTTTGCCTCTTAAACAAATAAAATAAATAAGAGTTTGTTAAATTTAGTAAAGGCGTAATCCATGTATTCCAATTGACTCCCAATGTTAATAAGAAAACCACCCAGCTACCATTGTTTTGCAACTGAATTTCAGCAGAACAATCTGAGGAGACACAGGCAGGAACTAAAAAAATTGGGCTGGAGGGACACATGTGGTGGTCCAAACCACCTATTGCTCCCATCTTTTAGAAAGCACGGAACTTTAGGACCAGGAATATGTCCCTACTGGGCCATGAAATCACTGAACCATGACTCCTTTCAGCCCAACACACCTCACAGAAGGTAGTGAAGATCAAATGGAAATAGAAAGCACATTTGTGAAATATAACAAGATATAAAAGCAAGGAATACTTTAAACAAATGATTATTTACTAGGAAGAATTGTCTACTGTAAAAGATGGGCCAAATAAGTATTAAAATCAGTTGATTCGCTTTTTCATGAGAAAGGAGAACACCCTCTAATAAATTGTACTTTCTTGTAATATATCTTATTTGAAAGAGCATACTGTGATTTCAATGAACTTTTCAAATTAATGTTTAGGATTTCAGTCATTGCAAAAGGATCTGTGTGATGGCTTGTCTAACTTAGTTCATAAACTTGTAAAACGTTCTGCTTTGAACTAGGAAATTTTACATTTGGTTTTCTTTTCTTCCCAATTGTAAATGTCTAAGGACTTCATAGAACATTGGATTCAGCAACATATATCTGCCAAATTATTCAGAAGTAATACGGCCTAAATGGGACAGCAGCATGTCCAACTGCAACTACCCATTAAATCATAATTTGAAATCAATTTCAAATGAAACAGAAACAAAGTTCAAATTTCTATACTTCAAACCCTACTTAAATTATGTTTATTTTAAAATAAGCCTCACTGATTTTGTATAATATGGCTTTGAAAAGGGCAAAGTACCCAGTTTGTTTAGAAAACACTCTCAGTGTTTTATTTTTTTTTCTTTTTTAAAGGCCTAAGATAGAAAGGGTTATAAAAATAGCAACTGTAGCTTGCATCAGTAAAACAGTGCTTTGATGACTTCACATCTGGCTTTGGTTTAAGGCAAGGATAGAAAAGCAGCTACAGAAGTAGTTACTGGGGTCTTGAGAGTAAACTGCAGAAATAGTCACCCTTGAATTATGTTTACACAGTACAGCACTGGGAAATTTGCTGTACATCGCTTTCTGACTTTAAGACAGTCCCCAAGAAGCCAGCTGATTTAGAGCTGCCCTATAGAAATGCAGCACTTTAGTTATGGCACCTGTTGCACTGGTGGGTAAGGAGAAGACAAGAAAGCAGTGGTTAGATAAAATATCCCAATCTTCCTCCAATTATGTATCCACAAAGCAAGATTATAAGAAACATTTTATAATGTCTTTTAATATGACTACTTTTATTCAGGTTTCTGACCAAACCACAAGTCTCAATGTAGCTTGGCAGTCACAGAAGCAGAAATCAAACTTCAAGATATAAAAAGAATACTTTCCCCATTCCTTTTTCTAATTCCTTTAATCTTCTTGATTTACAGCTTCCAATTTGGGGGCAATCATTCTTTTTATTTTTTAGAAAATGCGTAAAATGCGTGATGTATGTGCACTAAATTTTGAACTTATAAATTGTTTCTGAAAAACCAAGAAGAACCAAAACAAAGTTTAGGCTATTAATTTTTCAGAAGAAGAATGGCTTCCCACTAAACCAATCATGTAGGATATAATGTGTAGGGACAGAAAGAAAACTACTCTTTTATTCCTCATTTGAAAAATATACTAAAAGCTCTTTAAAGGAATTAGAAAAAGGAATGGGGAAAGTATTCTTTTAAACTAGCATAATTTGACTATTTATACCAACATTTGAATTTAGTTAACTGAATATAATGACCAACAGAAAACTGCCAGCATTGAAGAATGCTTCAAAATTTGAGAATTGGAATTTAGATTTTAAATGTTATCATTTTATACTTTATAGTTTGAAATAAGCCCATTTTTATGTGTGAAAATTTAATAGAATATTTCCAAATTGTCAAAAGTGCTTTCCCACAAAGTATTTATATCCACCTTTATCAAAAAGAAATACTTCAAATAACATCAAACTCACTCAGAACTTCTAAAACAATTGGTATTTCTTGTGATTAGACTGCAATTCTGTTGCAGTTCAAGATGCCCCAATTATCTCTCCCATAGGCCATGTATCAGTCACTGTAGTCTTCCCTGAATCCCACAACAGAGATACAAGGCCACACAGTTGTTCTTTCATTTAACTTTTCATTACAGCATGGAGCAGTTTCATTGATTATATGATATGATTCAGAACACTATCTTGTTGGTTGGTTTCTCTCTTTGACATGCTTGCTGGAATTATATTGATCAAATGGGAAAGGAAAATTACAGCAGTGCTTGTCCTCGCTCACACCAAGTAATGGTATTTTATTGAAGCTTCAGTGCCTCTTCAGATGGGTTGAATTCACAAGGCCTCCCCAATGGTCTGCAGACCACAGGTTGAGAACCACTGATCCTATCCAAAGAAACTTTTTGTTTGCTAAATTACTTAAGTTTTGAAATGTTGGAAAACAGAAAGAACCTTGACTGGTATCATGCAGGTTGGACTAACCAGGCCAATAACAATCGTTTTAGAAAATAGTGGGGAAATGGGGAGGGAATCCTATTGATTACAGGATGGCTATCCTGGCACAAACTAAGATCTATAGCTTGCCTTTAACTACTGATCTGCTTACTGGTTAAACTGTAAAATTCCTGCAAAGCATTTAAAACAATAACCAACTTTTCTATAATAAATAAATTGCAGTCTATTCAATACAGTAGTGAGTAATTTATGAGACTCAAGTTACTGAAGCCCCAGATATAGTAATAGTTTTTTAAAAATCAAACACCTCCCATTTATCCAGGAATAAATACGTGAAAACTTTCCTACTAAAGAATCCTTTGAAACACATTCACTTTCAGTAACAATCAAAAAGCCCAAACCAATCAGGCAACCCCTCCAGAGCCATATCGGAGAATTCCTTTTCCACATAAGCTTCTAATAGGAAAAGATGAAAAATTGGGTACCGCGCTGGAGATAAACATCTGTATGTGAGTTGAAATGTACTTGAATATAAGTAGCTCTGGTTGGTAGTTGGGCTGTTGACTAACAGCCCATCTGTAACTGAATGTTTGCGTGCATGTGTCTGTATATATCTGTATTATGATACACACCCCAGACGTTCGAGATACCTTTGATTCCTGGCTGGTGGTAGAGGCAGGAGGTGGGGGCTGAATGTCGTTCTCGTTCTCCACCCTCTCAAGGCTGACTTCAGTCTTGTTACCCGGAGGAATCATTTCGCCTCTGACAGGAAAGATCGCGGCTGTGACTGGCTGTCAAAAAGCTCTCCCTTTAGTTCACGTGTTTTCGCTTCGCCATTCCTCCGGAGTAGCGTGATTCCTCGGACTCCACCGGACTAAGATGCAGGCGTGGATTTTCTACTTAACAACTAATAAACCCTACAGCCTTTTTCTACCGCCTTCGTGTTTTATGCCTCTTCCTCCTCCTCCTCCCATTCCCAACTCTCCTGCTTACAAGTTATGGATTGTTCGCCGGCATCAAATTAATCAAGGACGGTCGATGCGCCCACTGCTACTGTTCGCTCCTTTTGTCCCTCCCTTTTTCTTCCCAGTCGGATAGGTGTAACACGGAGAAGCCGATACACCATCACACCTTCTGCAGCCCAGCCCTGAAAGCGAACTGAGCAGAAAGCGTGGGCATAACACATGGAGTGGATAAGGGCGGGAGCAATGCTATTCTGAGCCTTGGAGCGAAACACGTGTTTTTAGTAGTGAAAAGAATTGCAGTCTGACGAAGCTCGGGGAACTGTAGCAAAGCCTCAAAGAATTTATCTAGATATTTCTGTTTCTGTATCACACTTCCAGTGAGGTAGTGGCTAGCTGTTCTGTCTCTCATTTTTCCAGGAAGAATAAGATGTAGCTCTGAACGTCATTTTATGTCAGATTGCTGCAATGGTTAACCTTAGGTGACAAATCAGGAAAGTTGGTTTCAAATCCTGGTCAGTCATTTAGAATTTTTAAAGTAGCCATTTATAGCATTATCTGGCTGTTACTGTGGCAAAATAGGACCAAGGACCTCAGATATTTTTTTGCCATGGTGGCAGTGATGCAATAAATTGTGGAAAGACTCTTAATATCTGTCACTTTTGTATTAGTAAAAATGAGATCACTCCTATGGTTGTGTTTGTGTGACACCATGAGTCACATTTAAATGTTATATTCTGGCTGAATTCAATTTAAGGGTTTATTATGTAGGTATGAATTCAGATAATTGGATACTGGATACAGCTATGGTTCAATTAATTATCGAAAAGTGTGTTTTGCCAACAAAGCCACAAATTTTTCTCAATGAAGAAAGGACAGATTTTATTAGCTACATACATACATGCATACATGTTAGATATGTTCGAGGATTGTGCCCAATAACTCCATAGACAAATTCTTAGTGTATCAAGTATTGTTTATTAATTAAGCATCTTATCGTTACAGGTACAAGTCTGGAACTGAGGCAGGACCGCATGGCCGATCCTTAAGTACCCCTGGGGCGTGGCTAAGGTAAGGAGGGGTCATTGGGTTAGGGTGGACCTTGGGGGTTGGTTTGCCCAGCCCCCCTGCTTCTGGATCTGGATCAGAGGCAAGGCATTTATTCATGACAAAACCCCCTCTAAATGCCTGGCCGAGATATTTTTCTATGTTATGTACTTGAGTTGTTTTTTTCAAGAGGACTCCTAATTTTGATGTGAGATATGTGTGCTGTTTATTTTGTAACGGCTTTGTTAGGATGTCTGCTGTTTGTTCTTCCGTGTCACAATGTATGACCTCCACAAAACCTATATTCACGAACTGCCTGACATGCTTGTACTTTATGTCGATATGCCTCGACCTTTGACCCACTGCTTCAGCCTTAGATATTTCCATGGCGGCTTTATTGTCCTCGTGCATGATGATGGGGTAGCTTGGCTCGGCCCATATGTCAGCGAGCAGGTCATCAAACCAGACCAGGTTGTTGGCGGCTTTAGACAAGCAGATATATTCAGCCTCCGTGGTGGATGTGGCTACCAAGTCTTGCTTGCCTGTGTACCAGTGAACTGGGCTGTTGTTTAGGAAAAATATGTAACCCGAAGTGCTTTTCCTGCACTTCACGTCTCCAGCCCAGTCAGCGTCAGCATAGCACGTGAGTGTGGGTGCTTTGGTGTTCTTGGGTTCTAATGACAGGCAGGCCTCGGAAGTTTGCTTTAAATACCTTAATACCCTTTTGATGGCCTCCCAGTGGTACACGGTGGGCTTACCCACGTGTCTTGACAGCAAATTGACTGGCAATGCGATGTCTGGCCTGGTCCAGTTTGCAATGTACAGTAGGGAGCCTATGGTGGATCTATATAAAGTGTTGTCCTTGAACGCTTCAGCCTCATTATACATGTCCTTCAAGAAGTCTGGCTGCATTGGCGTTTCACACCCCTTGGCGTTTGTCATGCTGCATTTGTGTATTAGCTCTAAAATTTTATCCTTCTGTGACAGCTGAAAACCCTTGTCGGTTTTCGTGATCTGTACCCCCAGGTATTTGTCTACCTTGCCCAATATTTTTAGTGTAAAATGTTTCCCCAGCTCATTGGCGAAGTTATTGCATTTGCTGGCTTGATCACCGATATACAATATATCGTCTACGTATATCAAAACATACTCGGGGGAGTTGCCTGACTTCTTGGTGAAGAAGCAGTTGTCGGCTGAGGTGGCTGAGAACCCCATGGATTTCAATGTCTTGGATAGGCACTCATACCAACGTTTCCCTGACTGTTTGAGTCCATACAAGCTCCGGTTTAAAATCCAGGTTTCCCCCTTTTTGGTGCTTTGGCTGGGTGGCGCTCTCACGTATATCTCTTTGTCGAGCTCAGCGTGTAGGTAAGCGGTTTGCACGTCGAATTGGTGCACCTCCAGCCCCAGCAGTGATGCGACCACCAGTGCACATTTCACGCTCTCAGCCCTGACTGTGGGGGAGTACGTTTCCGTGTAGTCATCAGGGTATTTCTGGGCGAATCCCTGGGCCACCAACCTTGCTTTGTAGAGCACTTTGTTTCCCTCTAGAGTCTTAATCTTATAGACCCACCTAGTGCCTATGGTTGTCTTTCCTGTTGGAACTTTAGAGGGAGTGTATACATTTAGTTCCCTCAAGCTGTCCATTTCCCTTTCCATGGCTTGCTCCCATTTCTCTCTCTCCTCATTTGGTAACCCCAGTACGTCCTCATATGTGTTGGGGGTTAGTTGGTTATTGTGTAGGGATAATATGTAGTCCCCTAACCTTTCTGGCCTTTTGCCCCTGTTTGTCCTGACTGGTCTGTCAGGAGGTGTCTCTGTGTCATGCATGTACCTAGCTTCCCTCTCGGTGAGTGCGTCTACTTTAATGAGCGGGTGGCTTTCCTTCCATCCCTTCACTGGTATTTCCTGTCCTCTGGGTTTGTTCTTTCTGTGTTCAGTGTCCCTCTCTGCTTGGTGTTTCATTTCCTTTTGATCATCCCCTGGTCCGTCCTTGTTAAGGGACACCTTGTTGAGGTGTATTTTGGACCAGTTAGCGTTTTCGTGAAAAACAGCTGTTCGTGATATCACGAAATTGTTGCTGTTGTCTATGAACCTGTATCCTTTTGTTCCCGGTTCATAGCCCATGAACCTCAACCTCCTGGATACCCTGTCCCCCTTACGCCTGAGTTGCTTGGATATGTGCACATCTGCAGTGACCCCGAATATGTGTAAGTGTGACACTTGTGGTTTCCTTTGGTACATTAATTCATATGGGGTTTTATTTAGTACGCTGGACCACAGTCTATTTAGAGTATAATTCGAATAAATGAGTGCTTCGGACCAGAAATGCTGCCCTAGGCCGGCATCGTCTAGTGCGCACCTCATCATGGTCTGTAGCGTTCCGTTTTTTCGTTCCGCCACGCCATTTTGAAAAGCGGAAAAAGGAGAAGTCGTGTAGTGGACCATCCCGCGTGCTTTTAACCATCGCGAGAAGTCGCTTGATAAGAATTCAGACCCCCGGTCTGTCATTATTTGCCTGATTTTGGTGTTGTGTTGTGTCTCCACCCTCGCATAGAATTCCTTAAATTTTTGAAAAACTTCATTTTTGTGTTTTAGGGTGTACACGAAGCCATAGCGGCTGAAGTCATCCACTATGGTCAGGAAGTACCTCTTCCTGTACTTAATGGAAGGCCTTAGTGGCCCCACTAGATCCATATGTACAAGTTGGAAAACCGAATTAGTTGTGCGTACTGACTTCTTGGGCCTTGGTTTGGTTTTTAATTTGGAGCCCTTACAAATAGAACACTCGAGATAGTTCTCACAATCCTTTATTTTTACACCTTCAGAGCATTCCAACATTTTCTGTACTACGGGGAAACTAATGTGTCCTAGTTTCCTGTGTAATAGGTGGGCACAGTTGTCATGCATTGGTTTCCCTATCATTGGTTTCTCCTTCCTGGGTGTCCCCTGTTCATTGGGCTCATCGGTGGTGTGTGTGTGCTCAACCCCCTCTACCTCCTTGCTTGCGTTGCCTGTGTTATTGGAGTTAACCCCTCGGTGGTTGTTCACTTCTGGCTGTGTGCTCTTGGTTGGGTGGAAGAATGGTAGTTCCCCACTGACTACTACTTTCCCTATCCCTTTACCCCCTCTGGTCACCTGTGCCTTTCCTTCTTTGAAAGTCACCTCGACATTGTTATCCTTGCTTAGTTTTAGGGTGGCAAGGATATTATATGGTATATTTGGTACTAGGAGTACTCCCCGTACCATACCTATTCCTGGTACGTATGCATTACCTTTGCCTGTTACTTGTACGTTATTCTGGTTAGCCACTTTCACTACAAAACTTTCTCCTGTGAAAGAGGTTAGTAGGTTGCGATCATGTGTGGTGTGGTTTGTGGCTCCTGAGTCCAGCAGCCATGTGCCTTCCTCCCTGTCTTGGCCTACGTGTTGTGCTTGATCCCCTATGCCGTACAGTGATCCAGTGTGGCTCTCCCTGGAACTGTCCCTGTGGTCTCTCCTGTCTCTAGGGCTAGGTGAATCCCTACGCCTGTGCCTGACCTCTGGCGAGCGTCCGCTAGTGTGTCTTGTCCTTTGTTCTGGTCTATCTCTCCTATGTATCCTGTCCCCTGTATTTTTAGGGCAGTCTCTCTTGTAATGGTTTCTTGACCCACATATATAGCACTCTGTGTTGCTCTGGCTCCTGCTCTGTGGCTCAATCTTTCTGCTGGGTCTTTGCTCCCTGCGGCTTAGGGAGCGTTCCCTTCTAATGCAATCCTCTGATATTAGTTTACTTGTTAGTAATTCAAGTGAGAGCCTCCCTGTCCCTAGATTGTCTATCTGTGTAACAAAGGTGTCCCAACTGGGATCTAGGGAATTTACTATGATACTTATCATGGTCCTCTCGCTTATGACCTCCCCCCTTTGTGTCAGCTGGGCCCTAGTATTATTTAGTGATAGTAAATGCTCGCTCATGGGTGTCCCTGCCTTGAGTTTAGTGGCATAAAACTCCCTAGACAGCCTGGTGGTGCTGGCAACGCTTTGGCAGTAAAACAGTTTGTGCATTCTCTGTATTATCTCTAATGCAGTCAGGTGGTGGCCAATACTGGGGTAAATGCTGGGGGTAATGCTGGCAATGACAATACAGTAAGCTTTGTGATGGATGCAATCCAATTCAAAAGTCCAGGGTTTTTCTGGGGGGTCTGTAACCATGGATAGCAGGTCTTCCTTAAGCA